GTTCCTTTACTGTATCTGTTTACAGGAGTGTAAATTCAGGAGCTGGCATGGGATTATTTTGGAGACCTGGCCAAGAAAGCAGAATTTGAGTTAATCCTATAACAAATGTGTTTGGCAAATTAAAAAAAATAAATCTAAAAGTTTTGGAGTTTACCTGAGCTCTAACCCACTTCAAACAAACAACACCTTCTCGAATACCTCGATTTGGAAAGTTGTGGCAATAGTGCTGTGCATACAGTCTTCTGAACACAGCTTTACCGGCTGTGGCACACGGGCAGGCAGCTCCATCCCAGGGAAAAGGATGGAGTGATGTTGCTTTCAGTCAAAATTCAGCAAATGTCTCCTATTACAGAAAAATTTTAGGTTAAATCTTGTAGCTTTACCATCCTGTGAATGACCAAGCATACTGCTTTCATGGGGCAAGAGGGGAGACACTTTTCAGCCAGGACTGGCCTGGAGGAATCAGCTGCTTGTGGATGAAAACACATCCACTTCGAATTTACCAGAACAGAAATAAACGCATTTTGTGTTTGTGTGAATTCCTGCTCTTTGCAAAGGAACCCGTGAACTGGAAATCAGTCTTGTGTGTGAGTTGTATTCTGGGCAAGGGAGAGGGCTGGGCGGATGCATTCAATGGGCCCATCCTCTGGTGGTTCTCTTGGGTTGCATGCCAGTGATGTTGCTCTGATGCAGCAAGCTGTAAACTGTAGCTGGGAGCAGTTCTTGTCGTTACAGACCTTGGGCTGGTGGAATGAAGTGATAAAGTGAGTGAAACAAGATGTGGGAGGGTAAGAAGAGAGAAGGATTGCAAGGAGAACGTCGCCCTCTTCAGAGCTGTTGTTCCTCATGCTCTGTACACGTGGGATTTACCAATTAACACGGCACCATTAAAACTGAAGATAGGTATTGAATCACATCAGGCAGTTTTGTCCTGCTTTGCTTCAGCTTACTGCCTGCATTGCTGGGAAGCCTCGCTCAGCCTGCGCGAGCTTACCCAGCCTGCGAGCTGCTTCACGGGCTCTGGGACACTCCAGTTCAACCTGAGTCCCGCTGATGTGGTATAAGCCGTACACCGAAAGTCATTTTTTGTAAGAACTTGTTAGACTTCATATGGAGAAGGTAGATACGGTGCAAACACCTTTATTTGGTACCGGGAGGCTTTAAGGTCTATTGTCTCAGTATTTTATTTTTTTCCCCCTGCTGACAATCCAACTTTATTGGTCATAGTCAAAATTCTTGGTGCCGTACAGCTCTCACACTTTAAAAATTGACACATTTGGGTCTCCTGTTTTTAGGAGGTGCTTTACACGGCCTTTTATTTCCGCCTGCTGATTTCAAACTAAAATTAGTTTGGGTTTTTTCATATTTTGACTTACACATTTGCCTACCTGAGATGCACATAGAGGAGGGCAGATGCATTAAGAGATGTTTTTAAAGAAGCAGGCTAATTGATCCCTTTCCAGAAGCACTCACTGACATTGTAAAGGTTGAATCCTTCCGTTTCTAAGTTTTAACTGAGGAGATACACAAAGGCTAATAATTGAATTTTCTCTTCAGAAGGAAAGCCAAAAACTTTGACAATACACTAAACTGTGAAAAATGGCATGGAAATCTCACTGATGGGGTGTGTGCAGCCTGTTCTGATGGGCTTTGTAACAGGGCCTGCACTGGAAGAGATGAGGCAGTGGTGGGGAGCTCTGAACTGCCTCTTGTGCTCGCGTAACTCCAGAAACAACCGATCTTGGTCAAACTAGCAGTGGTCTTGATGATGATTTCTGAGATTTTGCATTCATGGGCTGGCCCTTCACCTAGGATGTGCTTTGCAGTGGAACTGGACAATGATTCAGTATAAATTTGCTACTAATGCTTTCTGTGCTGCTTTTAACTCCACTGGTCAAACTCTGCATGAACCGGCACTGCCGGCAGCCTGGCTTGCTGGGAGCTGTTAATGTTGCTGCTGTTGATTTTTTTTTTTTTTTTTTAA